TTTTTGTTTTTTTTTTTTTTTAGAGACATTGCAGCTTTTACAGCAGGAAAAGGTCGGTATTTTAAGCCAAGACAAGATGTCTTCCTAACCATAAGTGTTTTTTGTGCCTAAACCTATCCACATATAAACCCCAGCATTGTTCAAATGAAAAATTTCAACGTATCCGCGACACAATAACATGCAAATGTAACGTATTCAGAAAGTGGTTTGCAGACAGTACAATGCCAACATTTTTTCTGGTGATTGGGTTGGTGGTTCCATATGTTGTGTTTCTCTTTACGCCTATTATAATGAGAGAATGAAAAAGCTTATTACTACTACAACAACTACCACATCCATGGTACAGTATCAATACTGGGGATGTCCTGTTGTGCATATGGAGTGTATGGAGGCCCTCCGAGGGTCTTGTCAAATTCCTATGAGAAAAGTGCTGTAATGTTACGAAAATAAAGTTGTAATTTTGATGGGAAAAACTAATTGTATTGTGAGAATAAAGGCAAACTTCCACAATACAATGCTTTTAGAGTAGAGTTGTAATTTTCAGAAAAAAAAGGTAGGCTAATAATAGTTCAAGAATTAAATTGCATTTTAACATAAAAAGTAAAAACATTACAAAATAATGCTGTATTTATTGGCAAAATTACAAGTATTTTCAAAATCTTTTGACCTTTTTTTTGCATAATTAGAATGTTATTTACACCAACGCTCCACAGGCATTGAGATGGAGTGCAGATCAATGTTTAGATAACAATGCGTCAGTACGCATCACCAAGACACAAAAGGAGTACAAGCCAATGTGTAGATACACAATAAATCTACCATATCATGGCTCAAGCAAATACGGCCACATGGCTACTGCACACTGACAGTGTGTAGTGTGAACACAGAAATGTATCTTGTACAAAGAAAACAATGTGTGCTTAAAGTGCAAAATCAGAACAGGGATGATTCCTTCATTTGTTTGTTATGATGATTTCAATGCTTTACATCTGTTCTATCACCACTGGACCACAGACGAGGTCTCTTCCTTCATTGTAGACTTCCAATTAATTCATTTTAACAAACCAAACCTGCCATTGTGTTCCTGACTCTTCCTTTATCCCTGCAGCAATTCCCTCCTTCTCCCCACCATTTCACACCCACTTCACCTCCATTTCTCTTGTCATTTACCTCAGATGGCACCCAAATGATCCCCCACCCCTGCACATCTCCTCTTTCTCTCTAGGATCCAGCCTCCTGTTCCTGTCCAAGGGCCTCTAACAGGAGTCCCATGGGTGTCCTCTTCAGACCAATGCTCTCCAGTTTGTTCTCCAGCTTGTTCTTCAGGCTGCGCAGCCTTACCGATGCATGGACCAGAACCACTGTGAAGGAGCCACAGAGACACAGAGGGATGAAAGAGCCTTTATTTACCTCAAATACAGTAAGAACCAGGCCTTAATGTGAAACAAGTTCATATTAGAGACAGGACTTTCTTAAGTGCCTCCCCCACAAAGCAACTACAAACAGATTCAAAATGACTACAAAGAGACACAAAGCAACTACAAAAGACTCAAAATGACTACAAAGAATCAAAAACTATCTACAAAAAGACTTAAATGACTACAAAGAGATACAAACTAACTACAAAAAGACACAAAGGGATGACAGACAGACAATGAAACCACAGAAGACTCAAAATGCCCAGAAAGAGACACAAACTAACTTCAGAGACAAAAAGCAAATACAAAGAGACTCAAAATTACTACAAAAGGGGGCAAAACAACTACAGCTATGGAAAAAACAAAACACAGAAAACAACAAAGCAACACAAAACCACAGCAAGATGCGCAATGTCTTCAAAGGGACACAAAACAACAAATAGAAGCTAACCACTATAAAGTCTGTTTTGTTTCTATGAGGTGAGGTGGTGTTGCTTTCTGCATGTCATTGCCCAGGGACCTTTAATCTCATAATCTACCCATGATAAAAGAATACTGTTGTCATTCTCCAATTATTTCCAGTCTCTTCCACTTTGCTGTTCCACTGATGATAGCTTTACAGTGATGAAAAAAAAACTGCAAAGCTAAGACTGGAAATGATTAGCAGATGACCACTATGGATAAACGTAGTGCTTTGGAAATGCAATGCTGAATTTACCATGTAAGGTGAGGTAAGGTAAAGTTGATCAGGAAAATCCATCATCATTGATCCTAATTTGATCATGCTACTCTTACTATTATTTGAAATTTTATAAAAATGCATTGCCTCACTGTGCATAATGCACCACGGTGCACTTTTCATGGCACATAATAGATTTCTTACCATAAAAGGAAAGAAATGAATAAACACTTGTCCTGCACTTTGTGCACACAACATACATCTTCAAGCTTTTCATTGCACAGAATGCAATGCATGTTGGTGCCAGCAGAAGTCTCAACGGTGTATTTCTCAAAGCTGGGGCAAATAAAAACAAAACGTTCTGCATGGCTGGATACATAGCACTACAGAGAGGTTAAAAAATATGTCTTTGTGGCATAGATGAACTGACTATTCACCTACATGTAAAATATGACTGTAATTATATGTAATTTTTGTGGAGATGACAATCTGCATCAGCATGTCTTATGTGCTATTTTGGCTTGTGCCCCAAACTAGTGTCTTCAGGCAAGAGGGTTAACTTTATTTCATAATTTGGTGTGATTTTCATGCGTGTGTGTTTGTGTCTGTCTTACACAGTACAGGGAAGGCTATCCCAAACAGGAACACAGCCACACTTCCCAGCACTGATATGAAGAGGTAACTTGCAGAAAGTATGGCAAACACAGAGATTGATGGGTGGTTTCTGCGGAAGCGACGAACGGGAGCTTGGTTCTCTGCAACCCAAACAAAGCCCAGGAATAACACGGTGACCACCATCGCCCCGAGACACAACTGGAAGGGCTGGAAATACCTGAGAGAAAGGACAGTATGGATGGACAGAAGAGACCAACAAACAAGAAGGGTTGGAAAAAGCTGGTGACATAATTGCAGTGACTTGACGTAGATGGCAGAGGAATTGTCAACCAATCCTGTGTGCAGATCCAAACTGATAAAGAATGTATCTTCTCACAAGTACTGTGTGTAGTACTGTGTGTGTATCAAAAAGGCGGCAAACTATGGGGCTGAAAAATGAAATCAATGTGTAGATGTCAAAAACTGCAGTTCCTTGAATGGCCACTTGAGGCTGGCTCCAAGAGCAAGTCAATCCTCAGTCTCCCATGTTAAAATGCCCAACTTTACAGCAGAAATAAACATGTTTACAGCCTGGCACAAAAACCGTTTTGGTCTTTTTAGCTAATGTTCCTGTTAATGACAAATGTACGGGTGGTAAAGTTGCTACCGCAGCAACAGCGTTTCTTAGATAACATAACAATGATGTAACTCCAGATTCACAGAGTGTAGCTGTAGCTTTTGCTATTTCTGTGTGTTTTCAGTTCATGAAAGTTAATTGGAACATTTTGGTTGCCTAAAAAAGTCTTGTTGTACTAAAAGGAGTCCGATATTATGTTTTTCCATTAAGTACATTTTCTAAAATGGTTTTAAGCTGGAAAAAAATAGCATTAGGTTTTTCACAGTTAACCATAGCTGTAAATTTACCATTCTGACCAAGCTAGCAGCTAGCATTAGAGTTATGTCCACCAAATATGGTTAGTTTACTTCTTGCTCCCAAAATCCAAGATGACGAATGCCAATATACCAAACTTGAGGCTTCAAACAGATGTCCATGAACCAATAGGTGATATCACAGTGGTTTTGGCCATATTTACACAGTCTACGTTAAAAACACATAAATGGGCCTATTTCATAAACTTGTACACAGCTTTACAAACAAGACCTGTCTTCATGCTCTCTGCTGTGCTAAACCCATGGCCCACACAGACACTGGATATTGGCAAAGTGGGACTTCCACTCTTTTAAAGCAAAAACTCTGCTCTAATTTGATGACAGCAAAGACATTTGTTTGGGAGATCCAGAAATACCTTTCCAGTGGACCCCTGCCGTGTGACTGCTGTGGCAACTGCTTCCTCCTCCATACACTGCTGCCTCTGATGCCACAGCTTTATATTTGGCTTCATTTGGCGTCAGCTGATTGTCTGATCCCAACATTAAATCGTAAAGGTAGTTTTCTGGTATCTTGGTGTCAGCTGCTCCCTATCTAACAGGAAGAAGTCCCAGAGTTGGAGACTTTGACTGTCCTAAAAGGTGGGCCTACAAAAAAGGAGGAAGTACAACTTGTAGTCCAAAACAGGTTCCACAAGATGACACTTTGTTTTATTTTTTATAGTAGCTGTAAGCAGAGACTTTATTTTAAGGATTTTAATGTCATTCATATACATATACTCCCCACACTAAACCATAGGAGTCAGGTTAAAATCTGAGGAGTTACCCCTTAAAATTAAACTATATTTAGGAGCTGTTTGCTTTATTTCCGGATTTATTTCCCTTTTCAGTTCTGTGTCTGCAATTTTAGTTGCTTCCTCTTAGCTGCATGCTGCTTACAGTCTGGCACCTGGCTGCTACCTTTTTATAAAGTCCCGACTTCATCTGCACGCTGTGCCCTGAAACACCATGAACACAGCAAAATATGAAGAAAATAAGAGCATGAGTATTACAACGGTCCAGAAGCACTTTTAGATTAGTTCAGTTAAGCTCAGTTTGAGTAATAGATAAGGAATAGGAAATAACCTTGCCCCCGCCCAGCTAGGTTTCTCTTTTTTCTCACTTTGATTTAGTTTATTATCTTCATGCCAAATATATTTGTATGTATACTTGTCTGTAACGCATGTTGCGTGTCTAAATAGTGATGCCGTAGTTCTGTCGGCGTTTATGTAGTTGCAGCCTTTTCTTTGATCTGTGCGCGAGCTCTTTGATGTGTGTATGCCTGCGTGAGTGTCAGGACACGTTGGAGTGAGTGAGAGAGTGGAGCCGTGTCTGTTGGTGAAAGCCGGTGTTGCCATCCATTGGTAGTTGAAGAAGATGTGAAGTGGATTTTCGGGACTGTTCCTGCCTGGTGTGCAGATCAACGCCGGCTGAGAGTCGTAGAGCTAAGCTAGCTAGCCTTCGTCGCACCCCCCCCCATCTTCAGTTTCACCTGCTCCCCCTCTACACGTGGGACTTTCATCTTTCCTGGACATCATCGCTGCACGAGCTCCAACCCCTGGGCATCTGGTACCATAGCATAGGATTAGCATAGGGACTTAGCATAGTTAGCTTAGGCCATTTAGTATAGGGTTTAGTTAGAATAATATTGTGTATTGTATTTCATGTGTGTCTATTCATCTAGCTTCTATTAAAGGTACAGTTTGTTATTCTTTATCCCTGTGTCCCTCCCCCAGTTATTTAGTAGAGTGTCCACCTTTCCAAATTACATATAATATTATACATAGAGGTATGCCGGTGGCTTTACATCGCCGTTTCTAATTAGTTTGTAGGTTTAGCAGTCATAATATTCAGTTTAGTGAGTCAAAGTAAGTATACAGTCCTTTCAGTTTAATTTAATTTCATCATTGTAGCGTGAGCTGTAACAATGAGTCTGTACATTGTTTTTAGTAAAATTCTTCAAATTATACCTTTAAAGATTTACGTCTTCAGTAGGAACCAATGAGCTTGGAGCTGGGAGCCAGACGGACAACCACAAGGTTGGATTTGGGCTGTGTCTGAAATCCCTCATTCACTGTCTAACAGTGGGGGCGGAGGGAATAAACCAATACAACATAGTATTGCAATATTTTTTGTGTGGCAATGTCATATCGTCACACAGTGCCAAGTATCCATTTTTTTATCACGTAAATTACTAATATGACGAATACAAATGAAACTTCAGGTAGCCTACTAGAATAATAGTTCAATAGTAGTAATAATAGTTCAATTACATTTCCAGTCCACTGGATACAGTCTGCTGCTGCAAAAAATGGCTGCAGTGAGATGAACAGACTGAAAACTATATCTTATTAGGTAAAACAGATAACATTTTCCTTTGGGAACATGATTTACAGTTGAGAAGAGGTAATGAATCACATTATATGGTGATTATTTTATCGCAATACTCAGCATATCACAACATATCTACAATCGGAATAATATTGTATTGTGACTTAAGTATTGTGAGGATATCATATCCTGGATCATTCCCACCCCGATCTAACAGCAGTGGGGGACAGTAACTAAGTACTTTTCCTCAAGTACTTTATTGAAGTACAATTTTAAGGTACTTGTACTTCTACTTGGGTGTTTTCATTCTCTGCTACTATATATTTACTTAGCAACATCTCAGTGGGAAAATCTATTTGACAAATAAATGATGTTGTATCATTATGGATTAAGATAAGGCATTATTGATCCCTTGGTAATATTCATAATATACCCAGCAGTATATACTGTGTACACCAAAATATGAGCTTTACCTTTATCAGTTGCAACATTAAAGTGATGAACACATTAATGCATTATTATGAAATGGGTCATTCTGCGTAATAAGTACCTTTACTTTTGGTACATTAAAGCTACAGTTGGTAACATTTATGAAAAAAACTTTGTGTCATATTTGCTGAAACTATCACTATATGTCCTTACAGGAGTGCAAAAGAAAGATGAATCACATCTCTCCTCCTCTTCCTACTGCTTCTATTAGCATTTGAATCCACCACAGTGCGCTGAAAACAACCAATCAGAGCCGAGGAGTCTAACAATGCTTTCAGTCATGTCAGTCACTGTTGGACGCTGATGAAGGCTTAAGCCTGATTTATGGTCCTGCGTTAAATCAACGACGTCGCTATGTCGTAGGGTACGTGGCTACGCAGGAGGCTCGCAGTAGACCCAGGCGTAGCCTGACATGAACCTACCAAAAAATGTAACTACACGTCGAGGCGACGCAGACCCAGCACAGACCGAGAGGGCTGTGATTGGTTTGCTTGGTAGCAACGCATTTCCGGTTCCGTATTTCTAGATTGCGCCATCCCCGCCATCTTTAAACATCTTCTGTTGCGATGTAGATGTTGCAGTATTAACATACTTTCTTCGACATCCAACAACTCCAACTCCAGCAAGATTCTCTCTCTCGGTCGCCATTGTTCACTGTGACTGGAAAAGCCGGAAGCTAAACAAAGAATCAACTAGAAACGACGATAACCATTCATGAAAGGAACGCAGCCCCCTACCGCTCTGGCAGTGAATTGCACCGCGATGAAATGGAGTGACAGAGAAGTTCGAAGGGTTCACGACGGCATCACAGCAACGACGTAGGTACGTCGTTGATTTAACGCAGGACCATAAATCAGGCATTACAGCTGAAACGCGTCCGTTGTTTTTTGCTCTGCTGCCTAGATTAAAAGATCTTTAAAAGGACAGTTGTGAGTGTAGGCCTCCTTTGATATTTTTTAGTTTTTATTTTTTTAATTTGTGGCCGGGCACCTCATTCATTTTTTCTATTTGAGTGTGGTCACGTGTTTGCTCTTTTATGTCAGTCACTGCTCACATGGGGCCCAACTGTCAAACTAGGCAGCGCTGATCAAATATGAATCAAGATTCTGGCAGTGCATTGCCTATTTCTCACTCAGATGTTCTCAGAAAGATGTAGGCCCTAAGCACAGGCGCATCCTCCAACAGTGACATTGTGCTGGCTGCAGGGTTATCAGCTGGAAGCCACCCTGATGTTTCGCTCCTTTAACCCCAGAACATCTCTAGGTGGTGGAGCAGCAGCAGGGACGTCTCCCTACCGCCTCCTGCAACCAGCCAGTGCAGTTTATCTGAAAAATAAAAAAGGTTGTGACCTGGCCACCGCTGAAGTACCAAGAACCCAGCAGCCTGACCAACTTTCTCATTTTAAAGGGCCAGTGTGTAAAATGGGTTGAAAACCATTGAAAACAGTAACATCAGTGGTCAAATTCTAGATTGCAGGGCTCACTCGCTCACCCCTCCCGTCAGGTAAATGACGGTGGCCTCGTAGGACCAAAAGCCTTGCGCAGACACAAGTTTTTCAGGAGTAGGTCTATCTAGCTACGAGGTGAATATTTATTTAGAAATCTAAACCATGTTGTGATATTGTAATGAATCACTCACGAGCAGGAGACCAGAGTAGCGTTCGGGAAAAAGGCCAGTTTATTTGAGATCTCCAAAAACTCTGTTAACACTCCAGGGGGTAAAAGACTCCGTCCCAAACTCTGACTCTTCTAGCGTAACACACACACTTCATACCCACATACTCACTTACAGTACCCAGCGGGGCAGCCCTCCCCTCTCTGCTCCACCAATCTCCAGCCCGCACACTGACTGACAGCTTACCACACTCACCAGTAAATGTTCTGTTATAATGTCAATGTTCTTTGAGTTAATGGCATGTTTGGGATTGAATGAGTATAGGTAGGGGGCGGGGTGCAAGTGTGACGGGGACAAGGGCTGTGTGAGTGTGCGTGCTGGTGTGTGTATGAGTGAGCTGGAGGAGAGAGCAGCAGTGCACAGTTGGAGTTACAGCTAAATTCTTGTTTGTTGGTTGTTTTGGCGTAGTTACGGCCAACAGTAACCTGCACTGTTCAGTAATAAACGGTGGTTTTAGCTGTACTGAATCCAATCAGCAGGGTACATAGGACTAACGTTACTGCTATCCTATTGTCTGTTACTGACATATGACTAAAATTTTCAGTACGTCCGCAGAGGGAGGGATACACCGGTGAGCAGGCACAGACGTAGCCTGTAAATAAAACTCAGCTGTTTATTTAGCCTAGCAATATCTCCGGACTATAGTAGCTGCAATGGACGACTTTGAACGCGATTTTGAAGAGTTTCTTGTAGCAGACACAGACCCAGAGCCATACCTGTTTGAGCCGGAGCATACAGATGAGGAA